AAAGAACAGAGTGATGTTAAAAGTTATGAAGCTTTAGCTATTTCCTTCATGAAGAGTTTACTTTCCCAAAGCAAATGTGAGTAACTTGATCAATGAAGCAGATGTATTCTAACATCATGAGTGGTTAGAAATACTGTAACTAAAGACATAAAAGGAATAGGAGAGATGCAAGGACATTGAGTCCATAAGTCAATATAACTTAAAAATATAGGCACTGGAGTTAGAAAGATCAAGCTTTGAATCCCAGCAACACCAATTACTCATCTTGTGACCTCAGGCAAGTTACTTAACTTATCTAGGTCTCTGTTTCCTAATCTGTGAAACTGTAAAGTGAGGCAATAATGGTACCTCGTAAGGATGGAAGAGAAGACAAAAAGAAAGAGTATGTAAAGAAGTACTTTGTGTTTTGCCTTCAAGAACAGCTTAAGTAACAACTCTTACTACTATTTTCTTTGCTTTCTCTCCTCAGTGAGATCCTTGCTTCCTCAGGAAAAAAAGTTACAGTTCCGCAATTATCTTAACCATGTGAGAGATTTTATTTAACTTTAAAGTTTTATTTCCTTCCACAGTCCAGTCTGATGAGCCTTTATCCCTTGGAGAAAGCCAACCTAGGTAGTGTGCACTGGCTGTCAAGATGGCCTTCCCCTTATCATAAAAGCCAGCAGGCCTCCTCAGCCCTGCACAAAGGGCAGAATTGCTCTCAGACTGCCAGACTGATTTGGGGGGCTGGCGGGGCGTGCTGGAGTCCGATGGAAGAAAAGTATCATGGCAACCAGGAATTGTACATTTTAATGACAGGGATAAACAGTCTTTGGAGGAAAACAATTTTCCAAACAGGAAAATGCAGAAAAGTATAGAGTAGAAAATACCAATAATGCCTCTTTACTTTAAAATCCATTAAAACTCAGTATGAATCAAATTCCCCTGAACCCAAAGTCTCTCAAAATACATTAAGAAAAAAACTCCTTTTCACAAACCATTATGAACAGCCCACATGATACGGAAAGCAGGGCCACCAATCTCATCAAAGGGTTTCCGACGTGTTATCACTTCCCAAAGGATGATACCCCAGCTGAAAACATCACATTTTTCACTGTAATTGCTACCTAGAAGAAAAGGTGGTATAATTTCAACTTTTTTTCCACATGACTTACAGAAACAACTGCTTTCATAAATTTTAGAAAGAGCATCGTGTACAAAATAAGAGGATGCTACTTAAAGAGCTGAGACATTACTCTTTCTGAAGTACCTTAAGTCTTTGCAAAAATAAATTTTTAAAAAATTAAGTAATAATGCACTAAAAACTGCACTTTAGAAAGTTAGTCATTTTCTAACTTTTCATCAAGAGTCACAGGACTTATGTTTCATTTATTTAGATTTATACCTTCTCTGGGGCAGAGTATGAAACATTTGTACATTCCTTTTCATAATTTTTTAATCTTAATTTTCTTCCTTCATTTTCTGATGAATGTACTATCAAAGTAGAAGAAATTTCTAACTTAGTGTTAAGATTTTCTGAATATTTCATGAGATAAAATTCTTAACTTGCAAACTTAAAGTTGTAAGCAGTGAAAATTATGGTAACAAATTTATAGTGAGCAGATTATGCAGCGAAATTTATAGGATCACTACATTAGCAGGTGAATCAGCACAATGAACAGCTAAAAGACCAATCCAAACCCAACCAAACCAAAGAAACCCCTCAAATTACCACTGTAAGAAAGAACAATTATTAAAGCAACCGCTATGTATGTACTTAGCATGTGTACTACACGTGCACTAGCGGTGCAGTGGAAGCATTACAATGACATCACAATCTAATTTGGGCTACACATACTGTTGTCTCAGTAATGAAGAGACTTACATAGTCTAATGGAGCTTTGTTGCTCTAATTAATTACCATTAACTATTATTTCCGTATTTTTTGCTCTTCAAACTATAGTAATATTGCGTTATTTTAACTCAGAAAGATATGTTAAGTAAATGATTTTAAAGCAATACCAATTACATGTATTCTGTATATGAACTCAAAAACAGGACATGTTATTTAATTTTGTATAATGTAACACCTGCTTGTCCACTAACTTTTAAATTGTATTTTATGGCAAAATAGGCCCACTCAAGTGACCAGATGTATAGTAAATTTCTCCTTCTCTTGGCTGGCTAAAAACAAAGAGAAATCTTTAAATTCATCAAAAAGAAAAGAAAAAAAATCATTAATCAGAATCTGATTACTCAATATATCTTAATTTTATGGGGCATTCATACTTCCTAACATACAAATCACACATCTTCAGTTTAACTTTTCTCTTTAAAAAACCCCCAAAACTCTGAGGTTTTTATACAGAAACCTTGTATGAAATTTATGGATCACTCTTTTAGAACTTGAGTGAGACATGGAGATGTAAAAGGAAGTAAACCTAAGTTTATCTTTTGTTTTTCTTAGTGTCATATTTCTGCCCAATTACGTGCATTCCTTCTAAGACATGCTCATTTAACCTGCAGACTGTCAATTTTTAATTGCTAGGAAACCAATACAAAGGCACAGTTGAATTTTATTGTTTCTGGTATTTATGATCTATATACTTGCTGTGACACTGGATTACTGAATGCTCAATCATTTGCTCCTTGGAGAAACACAGGGTTAGGTTCTTGCAAGCCTTTTCACAGCATTTTGTCAACTGATGGATACATAATCTTGTTCATGTGTTTCTGTTTCACACACGATTGCTGATTTATGAACACTGAACTCATGGCCAACAGCACTGTAACTGTAATTGCCTGAATAAAGATTAGCAAGCATATGTATTTTGTCTGCTAAGATACATCACAGCTTCCTTACACTTAGGACTAGAAGGCACTTCACTACTACTCTGGGAGGCCATTTTAAACAATGAAATCACCAAAAAAGAAAAAAATGAGGCACTAAACAGATCACAGAATAACACAATATGAAACAAGAAGACAAGAGGGCTGTCTTGTTCAGTCTTAGCTGGGAACATGCGTGTTGGGTGACTCAAAATTTTTCCCTGCTCTGTGCATGCCTGCAAATATCTATGAAAGTACCGTGAGGAATGATTTTAGGGTTACAAACAGGCAATTTTGCAATTATGGAATCTAAGTGAGGATTGACTGTACATATGCTTGAACTTGCATAGAAGGTGCTAGACAACTTAATTCTTGCTATGAGTCTTCAGATCTAAGGCTGTATTTAATACCTCCAGACTTTGGTATATACCTTGTAAGTATGTGCTATGCAGAAATGAAACCATGGAAATAGGGAAAAGCCATAAACACATTTTGTATTTACATGGAGTAGCAAGGCAGATTATCAGTCACATCACACTTTTGTCATTTTACCTTCGAAAACTTCAGGTGCCATCCAAGCAGCACTTCCCTTGTTATTGGTCATGTGTGTCTGAATGTCACAGGCTGTACCAAAATCACAGATTTTTAAAACTGTCCCCCCTGCAACCAGTAGCAAGCTGTTTGAAAAAAATAAACAAAAAAACAACAAAAAACAAAGGTTGTAAGACCGATACTTACTTCTGTAGTAAGTTATTTGTGGAAATAGGATGGTTTAAACAAAATGTCACAATTCAGCTTCTGTAAAATGTTACCTAGTAATTGCAACCGCTTAATAGTTCAGAGGAATATGAGCAAGAATTAACTGACCTTCACGTAGTCCTCTTAAGGAGACAGCTACACCCCCATTTTGATGTCTCCTATCTCTAGCCCCATAATCCTTCCTATTATTTCTCTCTGGGCCCAAAGAGAGCATGGGTTTTAAAAACTTCTGGTAGGTCAACATTATGGTGTCCTGAAATGGGAGTGGATGGATATCAATACCTTCATAAATTGCTTGTAATCTACTTATCCCAGTGTCTAGTCATAAAATCAATCATCATAAAAACCTAGAACATATCTGGAAACATAGATCACAAAATCAATTTAGCAGACATTAACAGTATTAAAGAAATAGAATAGAATAGAAAATATGAAAGTACATCACAACTAGTTAAGATTAAATATTGTTTCACACAAGTTGTTAAGTTGTATACATATAATATGTACACACACGGTAAGACTGTTAAGTATTTCCTACAGTGGATCATGGTCCAGAGGCTGCAAGCCTTTGTTCTTACTCACCTATGGTAAACGGAAAATGAGTCTTTAATTTAGCCTAATGCAGCAAGACTGGTTAGCTACTCACTGACCCTATTTCATCTCCCTCCTGGGTACATAAGAAAAGTTTACATTTCCTATCCTCTTGAGCAGTTAGTTAGATGTGACTGAATGACCACTCTAGCCTGTGGAATGTGGATGGAAGCAAGGTACTTCACTTCCAAGCCCGGATGTAAACAACTCTCACATACATGTTCCTTTTCCTTTTCCCATGTGCCACTGAAGTCGAACTAGAGGTGGGTCTGGTCCTCAACTACCGCACAAACAACTGCCCACTCAACAGCACATTCACTTTGGAGTACCTACAAGTGAAAAAAACTTGTATTTTGCTAAGCCATGAGATTTCAGGGCTTACCTATTACCACAGTGTCACTCTAACCAACATTAGAAAATGCTGCCAAAGTGGGTGCTGCTCTAACAAAAATCGAATGTAACTGGTACTAATTCAGTAGTAGGCAGCAAGAAAACGGAAACTGGAGGCTGGGAAGATAGAAATCCATGCAAACACGTGGGAAAGCATTTGGTAAAATGTCTCCTGTGATAAGTTGTGGCTTAAAGGACTGGAAAAGCTGAGTGTTTCTAGACTCCAAATTGCAGGAAATAAGACTGGCACAGGCCCATTAAGACTGAGCACTGCAGCAAAGAAAAAATTAAGACCAAGTACTTCCCATGTAAACTTGATGGCCTCATGGTGCCTCCATTCAGCTGAGAAAAGGCCCTGAGGCCAGGAATCAAATAAACCAGGTTCAAGGTTTAACTATTAATTCTGATAGTAGTCACGTCCACATGGAGCTGACTAGAATCACAGAGACCAAATACCTACTTTTGAGGAAATCAAATTGCCAAAGAAACAGAGTCTGGAATAAAAAGCCTTTGGTGTTTGAGTCCTCCAACAATCCTCAGGACGCCAGATGTGCCTCAGCAGGGAGCAGGCGACGGCAGTCACGCAGCTCCTGAGGAGAGCATGTGCCCCAACACCCACTCCTGACACAGCTACGGAGAACACATGAGGGAGCTTCCCTAAGGGTGATGCTGAGTCAGGAGCAATGGATAAGGGAGTTCCTCCCCAAGGGCAGAAAC